CTACTTCACCATTTTCTTCGTTAGAGCAGTCAAGCATGAGCGCAGGCACGCACGCTTCGTTTTTGCCATCTGAAGTTACTACTTCGCCATCTTCTTCGTCAAAACCGTAGAGCGCGCATGCACGAAAGTATGCAAGCACGTACGCCCGCAGGCTCGTACGCATGCTTCGTTGTTTTCACCTGAAGTTACTACTTCGCCATCATCTTCATCAGAGCAGGCAAGCATGAGCGCAGGCACGCACGCTTCGTTTTTGCCATCTGAAGTTACTACTTCGCCATCTTCTTCGTCAAAACCGTATAGCGCGCATGCACGCAAGTATGCAAGCTTGTACGCCTGCATGCACGCACGCACGCTTCGTTATTTCCACCTTAAGTTACTCCTTCGCCTTCATCTTCGTCAGAGCAGTCAAGCATGAGCGCAGGCACGCACGCTTCGTTTTTGCCACCTGAAGTTCTTACTTCGTCATCTTCTTCGTCAAAACCGTAAAACCGAAGTTACAACTCAATCATCATCTTTTGTTGATGTCTGATGTCTTAAATTTGTCTAAATTCTTCAATTGTTTTTACTTTTATATATTTAAGTTGCATTTGTACAGTTTTAGGTTCAAATTCCCATTTCATTTTTATTACTAAGAGTCATTTTTACTTTAATTACTACAAGAGTTGATGTAAGATGTTCTAACACGTGTACATCATTGCTTTGGTCGACTAATTTTAAACTAAAATTAAATTGGAAACTATATACAACTTAATAGAAATGCAGAAACAAAAACTAAACTAACAAAGCAATTAATTAATGTCTAAATTGCTCGGGGAACATTGCGGGATTTGAAACGGGCTGAAACTGTGAGGCGCCGCACCTAGCATTCATTTCTCTTTCTGACATTGTGAGGCTTTGTTGATTGACGGCATAAAAAGCAAACAATAGTCTCCACTCACTTCTGTCCAAATCACGCCGGCACAAACCAATGCAGCGGCTTATCTAATCTCTCTGCATCTGAGCAGTAATTGTCAGTTTGCCGTGTTTTCTTTGTCTTTCTTAAACACGACACTCGGATTGCGCTGATTGACTTCTGCATTAATTGCTGTTCCTCATGCAGACACTTCATAATAAAACTCAAGGTTATTTTGGTGAACAAAAAAATTAAACTAAGGCTAAAACTATTGCTGAAAAAACTATTTTGTTGATGACAATAAAATAAACATAAGTATAATAAAAATAAATATATAAAATAAAAATGCAATAAAAGAAACTCTCTAAAAATAACATTTACTAACAACAAACTATAATAAAGTATTTATTAGCAAATACACAGTAAAGGTCACACCTTAAGATTAACCAATGAAACCTTACTGTAATTTATTCATTTATTTTATTTTCGGCTTAGTCCCTTTATTAATCTGGGGTCACCACAGTGGAATGAACCGCCAACTTATCCAGCATATTTTACTGTAATTTATTTACTAAAAATTAACAATAAAATACATAACTGTAGGCGTGTTTAACTATATATTATGTTTAATATGAAGACATTTGTCTGAATTCTTCATCATTTTTATTTTCATATACTGAAGCTGCATTTACACTTACCGGCCACTTTATTAGGTACACCTTACTAGTTTCGGGTTGGACCATTTTTGCCTTCAGAACTGCCTTAATCCTTCGTGGCATAGATTTATCAAGTGCTGGAAATATTCCTCAGAGATTTTGCTCCATATTGACATAATAGCTTCACACAGTTGCTGCAGATTTGTCGGCTGCACATTCATGACGCCAATCTCCCGTTCCACCACATCCCAAAGCTGCTCTATAGGATTGAGCTCTGGTGACTGTGGAGGCCATTTGAGTACAGTGAACTCATTGTCATGTTCAAGAAACCAGTCTGAGATGATTGAGCTTTATGACATGGTGTGTTATCCTGCTGGAAGTAGCCATCAGAAGATGGAGACACTGTGCTCATAAAAGGATGGACATGGTCAGCAGCAATACTCAGGTAGGCTGTGGCATTGATGCTCAATTGGTACTAATGAGCCCAAAGTGTGCCAAGAAAATATCCTCTATACCATTACACCACCACCACCAGCCTGAACCGCTGATACAAGGCAGGATGTGTCCATGCTTTCATGTTGTTGACGCCAAATTCTGACCCAAGCATCCGAATGTGGCAGCAGAAATGGAGACTCATCAGAGCAGGCAACGTTTGTCCAATCTTCTATAGTCCAGTTTTGGTGAGTCTGTGTGATTTGTAGCCTCAGTTTCCTGTTCTTAGCTGACAGGATCGGCACCCGGTGTGCTCTTCTGCTGCTGTAGCCCATCCGCCTCAAGGTTGGACGTGTTGTGTGTTCAGAGATGCTCTTCTGCAGACCTCGGTTGTAACGAGTGCTTATTTGAGTTACTCTTGCCTTTCTATCAGCTGGAACCAGTCTGGCCATTCTCCTCTGACCTCAGGCATCAACAAGGCATTTGCGCCCACAGAACTGCCGCTCACTGGATATTTCCTCTTTGTCAGACCATTCTCTGTAAAACCCTAGAGATGGTTGTGTGTGAAAATCCCAGTAGATCAGCAGTTTCTGAAATACTCAGACCAGCCCCTCTGGCAGCAACAATCATGCCACGTTCTTCCTTATTCTGATGCTCACTTTGAACTGCAGCAGATCGTCTTGATCATGTCTACATGCCTCAATGAATTGAGTTTCTGCCATGTGATTGGCTGATTAAAAATTTGCATTAAGAAGCAGTCAGACAGCTGTACCTAATAAAGTGGCCGATGAGTATATTATGCTTAATATAACAAATTTAGTTTGAATTATTCATAATTTTCTACATTTAATTTGTATTTGTATAGTTTTGGGTTCAGTCTGTGTTAAAAATATTTTATTTTGATTATTGAGAGGTTTGCACGAAAGTTACTGTAAGATGTGTAAAAACTAAACAATGCTCGACTTGCTATTGTGAATGTGTGTGTGTCCCACTACTGTACAGGGTGTGTGTGTGTGGTGTGTGTGATTGACTCGACCGGATCAGTAGTGATCGTGTTCAGGGTTGTAATACGTGCTACCTTTATATCGCCACTTGTCCTGGGACCCTCCAGGGTTACAGACGCTCCGCCGCTGTGCATTTTAATAAAGGTCAGCGAGCTTATAAAGCACATTCATTAGCCACTTTCTGCCATTAATTCAACAAGCTCAACTACAGTGTGAGTGTTTGTCAGCTCTGTGGAGATTTCAGACACCGCTTTGCTCCCAAATTGATATGTGGTAATGTCTCCGCAATCATTCACAGCGTGAGCAGATTTACAGGAGCTATGCTTACCATAATACACTGGGAAAAGTGATTCATTGGATTTACTACTTTGTTTTAAGGTAAGTGGTTGCAAACAATTAATATGTGCTGAAATAACATGCTTCAACAAGAATCAGCGTGGAAGCATTTGAATGCTTAAAGGGATAGTTTATCCAGAAATGAAGATTGCCTCATCATTTATTCTCCCAGGTGGGTTTTGAGTCTTTCTAAAGTTTCTTTTTTCAGTAAAAGACAAAAGAAGATAATTTGAAAAATGCTGGTACACATCTTCTTCCACACACTCAGAAATAAAGGTACTAGGGCAGCTCCTATTTAAAAGGTAGACTTATGTACCATGCAAGGGGACATTAGTATCTTTCGGCATTGTTGGGGACGATGTAACGACGTTCCGTAATTTAATTACAAATTTAATGCAATAAAAATAATTTGTTCCAGTTACTGAGAAAAAAATGTGCAACTAAAAAATGTGTAACTAAAGTTACTTACAGTTACTTATGAAAATAATAAAGATTACAAATAAGGTTACATCTAAAAATATTCTTTAAAAATCTGGGATATGTTGAATAATATTGTTCTGTTGCTTTGGCTGTTTTTAATTTGCTCAATACCTTCTGCTAAAACAATTAAATTAAATTAAATTAAATTAAATTAAATTAAATTAAATTAAATTAAATTAAATTAAATTAAATTAAATTAAATTAAATTAAAATATCTGTATTATATTATTTTATCTATATTATATTATAATACATTATATTATAATATATTATTATATATTATATTATCTTATATTATATTATTTATTAATTTATTATTTTATAATATTATCTTTTATTATCTTTATATTATTATATTATATTATATTATTAATATATTATATTATGTTATATTGATGTATAATGTTATATTATTTTATTATATTATATATTAAATTATTATATTATTATATTTTATTATTATATCATCTTATATTATTATATTATAATGTTACATTGTATTAAATTATTATATTATATTTTATTATATTATTATATTTTATTATTATAATATCTTATATTATTATATTATATTATTTATTATATAAAATGATTATATTATACTATACTACACTATACTATACTATACTATACTATACTATACTATACTATACTATACTATACGATATTACTAAACCCTAAACCATGTAAATCTAAACAAAATAGTATTATTTTTTATTAATTTATTTTATTATTCTCCCAATATACACACACATTTTGAATTTTTATACTATTAAAAAAAGCATATTCATTTCATTAAATATTGCATCAGTTCACTTTCAATCATGGAAATAATGCATTTAAAATGGCCTTATATTTCCAGTCTCCTTTTTCTTGGACTGTGGTTACCCTGAAATTGCTAAAATATAAACTGATTAAAATAAAAATTCCATCCTGTTGCAAGTTAATTGCATCCTAAAGCCACATGTGAAATTACAGATGAAGTCTACAGCTGGAATTATTATAATAAAACACTGCGAAGAGGCAAAACTAGCAGTGAATGTTGTTTTTGAGTCAAAGTCTGATCAAAACAGAGCTGTCTGTCAGCACCGCTCTAAAGCTCTCAGTAAATTAGCCCTGACTCTGGGTCAAAACCATTGCAAACTTGGGTCAGACTGCTGAATGGTGAAGAATAGAACAAAAGTATGAGAAGAAACTCACCGTAGACAATGACAGTGGCCGAGGAGCTTTTGCGTCGGGCCACAATGTTCTTGGCCACGCAGGTGTAGTTGCCGGTGTCGGCCAGACGGGTCTGTTTGATGATCAGATTATGGTCTGTGGTGATGAAGAAATTGGGGTCAGTCTTGGGGTCGATCAGCTCCTCGTTCCTCTGCCACTCCACCTGGAGGGAAAAAAAAAAAAACCCGCCACAGAAGACATTTTACAGCTGTGAAGAGATGATGCCAACTAGAGGTCGCATTAGACTTTCTTATTGTCAGTCATTTTGACGGAGAGGGTCGTAAAAATTCCGTCATAACGTATTACTCCCCATCATTTAATGTACATATTTTTTTAGCGCTTTTTTCATTTATATTTTAATCATGAACTTGCATGACGAGCATATAGGCTAAATTATCAATTTATTTATTCGACAAATGAACAAAAACTTTAATTTATTGTTCAACAATTTCATGTGTTTCTTTTCACACTGACAGCAGAGGGAATTAAAACACGACCATTTGTGCCTGAACACATGCAGATATAAACAACAAAATATGTTACAAAATAGAATTCAGACTAAAATATAAATATAACTTAAAAATATAACTTCAGACGATGTTCTGTAGGCCTATCTGCCTTAACTCGTGTCTTCCTCCTGGTCCACATTGATCTGGGTGCTTGTCTGTGCATAATCAAACGCAGAAAAGGAGACTGATGCAGCAATTGTCATTAAATTCCGTGTCTTTGCCTTGGAAAATCAACTTCTCGTGACAATTTAATTTTTTTTCCTGGAGGCTTCTGCTGCCACACTGGAGAATTACTAGCGCAACTTCAGCGAAAGTGATTAGAAGTTTGCAGGATTCTCTGAATGTGGGATTCACCAGCCTGATCTCACGAGAAAACGTAAGTATTTTACGTTTTGCCAGTTTAGTGGCTAATTCTGACAAATTCGTACGAGTTCAGTCGTACGAAATGGTACGATTTTAAAAAGGAGGCGTGGCACCTAACCCCACCCCTAACCCCAACCGTCATTGGGGGATAAGCAAATCGTACTAAATTGTACGAATTAGATCGTACGAATTCATACGAATTAGCCACTAAATCAAAAAGTTACGAAGTGCCGTGAGATTGTGTTGGATTCACCGATCCTGCAAGCTCTCGTTTTACCGAGAGAAAATATTCAGCACGCTTTCTTTCTGCATCAGGGGTGCGGCTGCACCCATCTTCGTTTCGTAGTGCGCTTCAAAACACCCGAAATCCTTAATGCCGACAAAACAAGACAATTGCTAATTAATATGGCCAATCTCCATCAGCTGGACAGGAGTGGGAATTACAGTTAGCTACAAATTACAATAGATCGCCTTCAGCATAATCCGTCAAAATGACAGATCACCTGACGATTTTTCCATCACTGCTGAAAAAAATTCATCAATGACGGAAAAAATAGGCTTAACGCGACCTCTGATGCCAACCAGCCAAGACTTCGAGGACAATGCATGCATTTAATTAATTTTTTTCTTCTTTTTCATTATCTTATAACATTTTAACACATTTTTTATCTGTTTTATCTATTTTTTATTCTTATTTTTATAATTTTTATTTTTATTATTTCTTTTCATTTTCTTACACTTGTCTCTTTTATTCTTGTTTATGTGAAGCACTTTGAATTGCCTCTGTGTATGAAATGTGCTATATAAATAAACTTGCCTTGCCTTGCCTAATTGAACATGTACCCACAGAAATCACCTACAATTGAATTCAAAGTTATTAAAGGTGCAGTAGGTGATTGTCTTCAGAAACATTTGTTGTTGTGCCAGCTGAAAGTCTCTTCACAGTCCAATAGTATTGATTAAAGTAAATGTGTTTATATGTATTTCTATATTTTGCGTAAGGCATAAAATTAAAAAAAAAAATCATCCAATTTTATAGAGTCAGACCGACATCTCTCATAATAAGTACACTGCATTGTTCAGATTTGTGAAAGACACAGGACTGATTAATAAGATATGATTATTAGAATTATTTTAATGTAAATTTATTAAGTTTAAGGCAGGGATGGAGGGAGTTATTTTCTGAACCTGACATAGTGGGAGGAGTGAGCAGAAGTCAGAAGAGCTGGAGACGCAGCGCTGGCGGATGCGAAGTCTCTGAGTTAGGGGAAGGGATTATAATGGGAACAGAGTAGAGTCTCTGAATCAGGTTACATTAAGGTGGTGGTAATGCACAAGAACTGGTGCGATCCGCCAAATAAAAACAAAAGAAGAAGAAGAAGACATCTCTCATAGTTGATGCAACTCTAAATTTTCGCTCTGAAATAGCATGTCAGTTTTGCCTAGTAATGAGTGTAGATCCTGCACGCCGTCGGACAAGCACTATTCGCTTTTAACACATGAGAGAGGATTCTTTTGCTGTCATCTTTAAGGTGCGCGTGCTCCTGTTTCAGGAGGCGTGGCTATGGACGGCAGGGGAGGGACTGTGATTCAGAGATTTATGCTAAGCTGTTAGCATTGTGGAAGATCCCCTACTGCACCTTTAACCTTTCTGTGAATTTTAGCTTTCTTTTGTCAATTTTTGTTTAACAATTAAATTTTCACAGTATTTGCTATAATATTGTTTCTTCTGGAGAAAGTCTTATTTGTTTTATTTCGGCTAGAATATAAGCAGTTATACTTTTTTTGCCATTTTAAGATCAATATTATTAGCCCCCTTAAGCAATATAAGTTTTGGATTGGCTACAGAACAAACCACTGTTATACAATGTCGTGTCTAATTACCCTAACTTTACCCTAGTTACCCTAGTTAAGCCTTTAAATGTCACTTTAAGCTGAATACTAGTGTCTTGAAGAATATCTAGTCTAATATTATTTACTGTCATCATGGTAAAGATAAAAGAAATCAGCTATTAGAGATGAGTTATTAAAACTAATATGATTATAAATGTGCTGAAAAATCTGCTCTCCGTTAAACATTAATTGGGAAATAATATACAGGATGGCTGATAATTCTGACTGTTTATACTATATTAAGTCATTAGTAACTAATAAAGTTATGGTAATCAATAAGCTTAACCTTTCTGATTTTGATTGTGATGTAATAATGTGCACATTTTGTAAAGCTGCTTTGAAAGAGCTGTACAAATAAACTTGAATGGAATTGAGTTATGGCTGATAGAAAACACTGGGATGCAGCGGGTGATTCTCGCCAGATCCCAAGGCCACCGCATGCTGAGTTCTGGCACACACTGCAAACCGGAGCGGCCAGGAGGAAAGGGGATTAGCAGTGCTCTTCTCAGTTTTTTTTTTTGTAAATGCAAAAATTGTTTTAATGGTCTGAAATCAGAAATGGGACAAAAAATGTAAACTTGGACAATATTTATATATATATATATATATATATATATATATATATATATATATATATATATATATATATATATATTTATTTTTTTA